CCAAAACCGCACCGTGCCGTCGCTCCAAGTGTATGCAAAGTATAATGCTTAGAAGTGTACTGTTGCTGCCAGAGGTGAGAGTGGGGCGGGGGTAAAACGAAGATACTGCGACTAGTAGTCCCTAGCTACAGTACCGTCGGTTGGCTCCAATCGAGTTTGGTGTCCAATAGTTTTTTGGCTAATAATCAAAGAATGCACACTCAAGTTCGACTTTGGAGAAACAGTCACGCGTCACTCGTTCCCATGAATCGAAACAAACCGAAACCCTAACTCCATAAAAAAGTGTCGTTCGTAAAGTTAGTAACAAGAGGTCACTGAACAAGAGGTCTACCGGTAGTGCTGCAATCATTTCTTTTTTATAATTATTAAATTAAAAAAATTTTTTTACGTTGCTGCAATTTCGTTTAAGCACCCCAACACTGAGCAAACTTTACTTGATGCTTCGTGCTATGTGGCGATGGGGGTATATTTCGCTAATACTTGCTGAGGTCGTTTGAGGCGGCTTGGGCCTGCGGTGGCGAAACGGGTCGTAGCGATATTGCAATTGGCCAATATGGACTTCAACCTGTCGCTCGAGTATTTCCACGTCGAGTTAGTTGGAGGATTACAGTTGTTGGACGTGTGTTGTGGATGAGCGTTCGGAATTTCAAATCCGGGAAATCGACACGACCGGGGTGGCCTTTACTTATTCGCCAAATCTATCAATCGATTCTTTGGTAACTGTGTTGTTTCCCACCCCAGTGCCAACACAAACAACCAAATGGGGGAGTGCCGACTCCCTGCAAACCACACTCTTGATTGACTTGACGTTAGCACAACGTTGCAGAACCAAGAGTGAGATTCTGGCAGTTGACTGGGACAGGTGTTTTCTACGTCCTAGTACAACTAGTAATACCATGCCTTTTTGTGTCGGTTAGCCAAGGGTCGGCACCCGGTGGCCTCGGTTGAGGACTACCTGTGTCATGGTTAAGTCGCTCATCACAACATCCCCCCCAAGCCATGTCCCACAGGACACACTTGGGCTTCGCTAATTCTTCGCTTTCGCTCGCTTCATCGCCTTGCGCAATACATCGCTTTGCTCGCTGTCTTCACGCCTTTTACGTAGTTCTTCACCACGGCTGGGCATTCATGCATGAGCTTCTGCAGCGTTTCCCATGAGGACTCGATATCTTCAAAACCTTCCCAAAGCACTTCCAGCATGATGTCTTTCATATCCGGGACAAACTTGTGTCCCGCGATGGACTTGACCTTCAGCATGATCCCTTGCTCGGAAACGTGTTCGAGGATTTCTTTGGTCACTTCAAAGCTGTCTAAAGCGTAGAGCTTGATTCTTGATGTGTGCGCTTCCCGCAGTTCGTGGGTCACCAAGTACTCCAAAACGACGGAGAATTCGCCCACTTCCGTGACTCGGTAGGGGCCCGTCCAGGTTACGAGCAACTTGTGGTGATAGCGTTCGTCGACACGGGACCAGAGCACATAGTCGCCTTCGCTGACGTTGCACTGTTCGTATTTCTCGGTCGCTTTCGCTGCGCGCATCGCATTCTTGTCTAGGACGTTTTTGTGCATGACCTGCAGGCTAGCACGTAGCTTGTCCAGGTTTTTCGGGATGTCCTTCACCGTCCAGTCGCTCTCTCGGAGTTCCTTGTTCATGCCCACCACAACGACATCCAAGGGAGTCGCTGGGTTCAAAGCCGTGAACAGCTCCATCGGCGACTTGGATGCCAGTGATGCAACCGGTGTTTGGTTGAGGTTGGTTTGGACCACTGGCAATAGGTAGCCCCATTCCTGTTCGGCTAGCTGGTATTCTCGCAGCATGACCCGCATCACTTGAAGGATGTCGCGGTTCATTCGCTCAACCGTTCCATTGCGCCAGGGGCAGTAGGCCAAGGTTAGGTCA